TTCCTGCCACACTCCCTTCCAAAGCCACACCCGCTTCTAACGCCGCAAAGCCCCAAAGGTCCTCCCAGCGAAAAAATCGAACCAATCGGCAAAATGCTTGAAGAGTCCACCACCATCCTCGCTGCCATCAACGCCCATTTCAAATCTCTCCACGCTCCACTTCCCTCTCGCTTCACGCCTGTGCCTCTACTCCCCATCATACTACGTCGACCAAGCCTGGCACGCCTTAATCCTCCATCCTCGCGTGTACATTCTCGTGTGCGAAATGATGACCAAAAATCGCGCCATTATCGATCATAATCCGTTGGGCGGGTCTGCGGGTGACCAAGGCGCTAGACTGGCTCGCACGTTGGTTCGATATCAAGAAATGCTTGGGCGGGCGAGGATCCTGGAGCGCGCGTTAGCCACCTGCACCGAAGCCGAAAATCGCGATCGCCCCACCGAAACCCCAACAAACGGATGCGCCTCAGAATAGTGGGCATACGGTGAGCATCAGCGAATCGGTTACGTTTGTGACATTTAGAATTAGATCTTGGGATGGGAAGGAAATCGAAATTCGCATCAGGTCGACCACCCCGTTTCAAAAAGTTGCAGAAGTAGCTGCCATGAAGTTTAAGATTCCTCGTGACGGGTTTCGACTTTGTTTTATGGGGGTTTCGGTCCAAAATACAGAAAACTATTTGGGTTTGGGGATCGAAGATAGTGATATTGTGGAGTTGCATCGAGTGCAAATGGGATGTTGACTATTCGTTATGAAGAATAAAGAAACGGAAAGGAAAATGCAGAGTTGCTATGTATCATTCTCCTCCCGATTCTGTTGATGTGGCAAAGCCGGAAGCATCGCGGTATCATAACAGGACTTTGTCATCAAGCCCCCCTGATTTTCCGCGCCTCCGTCATGATTGTCCCGATCCACGCGCCTTGGGCTTCCTGCTTGCGTTTTGTTTTATCATTTGGAAAAATGCAATCGCACTATTTCCGCTAATAATGCCATAATCCTTTCCCTCAACCAACCCATATCAGTAATTTTCGGGTGGCTCGGGAGACCCTGACGCGCCACACGGAGTCCCGGGACGAAAATGCAAGTTCAAAACCGCCCCGACGCGAATAAAAAGGCGCGCACCTCGCTTCAACTATTAAAAAACCACCTTACTAAACAAACCCACATCCAAATATGGCCCTCTCTCCTTCTGTCTTTGCCTCCATGGTCCCCAAGAACCAAATGTTCGTACCCAAGAACAACCCCGCGACTCACGCCACCACCACCGAGCACGTTACATCTCCAACTGACGTTGAGATGACCGAGTACGGACTCAAGGCTCCACGAACAAACACGAACGAGTCGACAATCTCGGCGGCGTCGAGGAAGAGCATGGAATCGCTCAAATCGTTCTCCAAGAAGCTACACTTCTTTTGATTGAAGATTGTATTGTAAATAAAGTATTCAACCATTTCATACCAACGTGTTTTTATCCTCTGATACCGAGATTGATAAGGCGGAACTGGTGGAGGAGGGAGAGACTCGAGCACGGGTTTTTGATAGCACGCGTGGATCAGCTTGCGAGTCGCAACTCTTATTCTCCAAGGGGGAAACCTCAAAGCAACGAAACCGTATCAGTTCAGCATCACTGAACAAACCAACGCGAACAAAACAGAACGAGAGAGGTAGGAGAGGACGTGGAACGCGAGCAATCTCATAATCCTTTCGATGAGCACACAGAATCCAACCACTCCCACCGCCCAGGCAGCAGTAATCACGCCAGCAGAGTAACTCGGCCACTTCCGCCTGTGTAATCCGAGTCGAACTTTTCAACCACGCAGGAATACAAAAAGGCTCGCTCGATCGCAAAGATAACACAACTTTCCACCAAAATGGCTCTATCTCCTTCCGCTTACGCTTCCATGACACCAAAAAACCACGTCTTTGCCGCTCCGCAGGAATCGCGCATGGATTCCGCATTCGGGTTTCCAATCACGCGAACCATCACCACTGATTCTGAATTCGGCTTGCCAGTCTACCGAACCCGCACCAACGACTCCACGACCTCTTCCCGAAGGAACATGCGGTCTGTCAAAGCGCTCTTTGGACGACTGTTTGGCAAAAATGAGGAGGGTGGATATGTGCAAATTTAATTTATTATATTCTCTATCACAATCACATGAAAAATACATATATTAACGTTTGATTTCTTGGCTCATCCTCTCGCATTTTCAACTTTCGAACATGAAACGGACGACGTTTTCGCATGCTCCATCTCGCGATCCAACTCATTCACAATACCAACCTCTAAACACTTGCTGTCAGTTTTCCCATTCCACTTCTTCACCGCCACCCACGACGAACGCGTCTGCTGCGATATATCCGCTGTCGTCGTCGAGGAATTTCTGCGGGGCCGTTGTGCAGTACATGCGATAGGGTGCAACGAGATTGAGCTCTACCCGCGTTGAGCTTCCGCGCCATGGTGATCGAGATGGTGCCGTCGTGGTACAAGCTCGGGCACTTCGTGATCTTCGAAATGTGATGGTGCACGATGTTCGAGGTGAGCTGGTGGTGATGGGGGATGCGGTGGCTGTTATTGCTGGTGCTGTTGGCGTTGGACTCGGCGAAACTCAACGACGCAATCTCCTCGTTCGATTCAGGTTAAACTGCGATGGGCGTTTCACTTGCGGGCGGCCACGGGGCGGCTCTTGACGCCGCCGAAACTGTCGCCGAAACAGCATTCGTTCCCTTCTGGGCGAGCCCCAACAGCACCTCAAACAGACTCCCTCCAAGCCAATCACCATACACACTTCAATCTTCTCTGGCGAGGTTCGCAGCGCGTTTCTCCTGCTGCGATGCGCTCCTGAATTCGAGGCGGAGCACTGTTTGGGGAGGGGTCGGTCGGTGCCGATTTCGATCGATCAGGTGGGTCGGCGTGTCAGTGGGCGAGAGAAGCACGGAAGCTTTGGAAGCGATGCGTCGCTCATTTGACTTTGACACGGTGAACAAGAGGGTGTTGGCAAACAAACGTTTTCGAAAAATGATTTCCATCATGCGAACGCCGCTTTTTCAAAAAACAATAACCATGAGGAAGAGTTTTATAAGAAAGAAGAATGAGGTAGAAACGAACAAGACAGCATATGAGAGAAAAAGAAAAAAATAAAATTAAGCGAGTCCGTAGTTGCAAACAGTCGCACCACCGTTGGTATTGCTGGAACCACATCCCATGTTCACATAAGGCACAGCAAACCCAACCACATTCATAAAGTGTCCACCATAACTGCTGGCCTCGTCCGTCACCCAACCAGAATACGAGTCCGAGCAGGAACGCTTGCCTTCATACAGGTTCTGACCCCACGACGTGCCGCCACCGGCATTCGTGTGACAGTCCCAACAACTGTTGTCGGCCGAATACTCGGCGGATTGTTGTGCAAATGCAGTCAAATAATCAGACCACACGAGGTTCCCAGCGGGTGGGTTGTACAGGTTGCGCGCGTAGTTGGTCAGCGTGAGACACTCGTATACGACCCCCTGGCCTGCCACATTGGGTGGATTGTCGAATTGGGCGCGGTATCCGCAAGACTTGTCGTCCAAGCAGGAGGTGGTGAAGCTGGAAACGGATTGGGTGGAGGCTTCGTAGCAATCTGACAAAGAAAAATATGCCAAGAGATAACGCAGATCAGAAGGTGCGATCCATCACGTGTCACGAAAAGAAAAATATACGTACTGTTGCTCGGACGACACGTCGAGAACCAGTTTCCGGCACTCGCATCCTTAGGTCCCACACAACACGTGAATCCCAAGGCAGCACTGCTGCATGAATCCACGTTGGGAATGCACGCCACGTAGTCGGCCACGTTTTGAGGCTGTTGCTGTTGTTGTTGCTCGGCTTGAGGCGCAGGTGTAGGTGTAGTATAGCAATCTAGAAAGCGACGGGGGGTTATTTAGTTATTTCCCTTGTGACCCGCGGCCAACTCACTATTGTTCGGACGACACGTCGAGAACCAATTTCCGGCATTCGCATCGTCAGGTCCCACACAACACGTGAATCCCAAGGCAGCACTGTTGCAGGAGTCCACGTTGGGAGTGCACGCGACGTAGTCGGCCACGTTTTGGGACTGTTGAGATTCCTGTTGTGTCTGACTTTGATCGCTGAATGATTGCGTCAATCCCGAGCTCGAGGTGGAACAATCTGTGTTGAGTGTGTGTGTGTGCGATCAGTACTCAGCGACTCATGCACATGAACCGAACCGGTAGTCTCACGGCACGTGTACTTCCAAATGTCCACGTCCAGTGGACCCACGCAACACGTGAAATTGGGATTCGTGCACGAGTCTGCATTCGGATCACACGTTAAGTACTCGCCGATGCTGCTTTGTGGGGCCGGAGCAGCGAGGATGGGCAGGGCGATCAATGAGGCGAGAAGATATGGCGGGATCATGCGCAAAGGGGAAAATGAGGTTTTTTGATTTGAAAAAAAAATTTGCGGGAGAGAGGGGAGATGCGTGCTTTCGAAGGAGATGGCCAAGAAAAGGGAGACACAAGGGGCAGCCACCCTTATTTATTAATTGATCCCTTTGTTTTGAGAGTTCTCTAACATCAGGTGTGAGGTTCCGCATAAGCGAATCTGGCACGCAAGCGCCCCTCTAAATTCGCACATTACTAATAAAAATGGGATAAGAGGTCGAGTCTCTTCCCCCCTCCCCTTACCCCTAAACTACATACTCACTGAGCGTGTAAATGCGGTTACACTTCTGGGAATAAGCCACATTTTTTTTGCAGCAAGGAAGGAAAAAGAACACTGGTGGAACCCCCGGGACGACTCGCAAAGGAAGGCACGTCACTTTCTTATCTCAAACACAAGCGCCGGTGCTGTCTTTCGTCGCCGGCCAAGAACAAGAATGATGGCATCTTTGGCACCTCAAAAATGCAGCATGACAAAAGAAGCATCAAGCTCAAGTTGAAGCGAATTTGGAGAAGCCTCGCAGGCTCCTTTAATTCCAACGAAATTGCAAAAAATGGGCCCAACCGGGAATTGAACCCGGGACCTCGTCTACCCTAAAGACGAATCATACTACTAGACCATTGGGCCACAAATAATTGATTCAAATTGATTTTTATAACGGTCAACAATTCCTTTTCCTTGAAACTGGCTTGAGAGTTTTTAATCAAAGCTTTTTCTTGAAACCACAACGGTTACAGAGGTCCGCGATCGGTACTACGGGGCTGGAGGGGGGAGTTGGCTTGCTGGCGGTTCGCCCCTGGTTAAATTTGAAAATGATGAAAAAATGATTGAACTATTTATTCGTGGCCCAATGGTCTAGTAGTATGATTCGTCTTTAGGGTAGACGAGGTCCCGGGTTCAATTCCCGGTTGGGCCCAACTTTTGTTGTTTTCGACCCTATTGATAGGTGGTGTGCTGGATGCAATGCAGCGAGCCTGGGCTATGAAGAGCACTCAGCACATTTATCCTTTTTCTTTCAGTGGCTTCAAATAACTAAACCAGCCTCTTTTTTTGGTCTCATTTGTTTCTCTCATTTTTTCCCTATCCCACCACCCAATTCTCCTATGAGCTGTAAGGGGTGGCTGGGAGAGAAAGAAGATAATATAAGAGGGATCTGTGAAGGTGAAGGTTTGAGAAATTTTCACTGTGAGGAAGCAGGAGGCATGGTCATGTTACGAAAACCATCAACCATTGAATGTTAGATCCCAGCCAGGAGGTGGGTGAGTCCACCAAGAGACAGAACCCTTGGAGGTGAAGGCTTGAGAACCCTTCTTGGTGAGGAGGCAGGAAATGCCAAAGCTAACAGACGCAAAAGTACTTTATTCAGACTAGAGAGAAACACAAGGGATTTAGAGGTTTATAAAGGACCATATAATAGGTTGTCGTGTTGCACCTGAAAATTCTATTTCTTTTTTGGTGGGAACACAAAAACTGCACATTCATTTTATTTTTTCACCAACCAAAGATGAACCATTGAGCCACTGCCAAGGCTGTCAGCTTTGAGTTGAACACAAACAAGTGCTCCTGCAATGAGAGCACCGCGAAATGTCGATTCTGCTGTGGGGGGTGCCGGAAATTTTGGGAACAGGGCAGGCATCGGCGGTTTGGCGCTGCTTGCCGAATCAACCGTCTTTACGAGAAGTGGGGAGTGTGGATGGGTTGGGGGCTGATGGGTGAACTGTAGTGGGGGGGGGGGGGGGGGGAAGG